TGAATTAATATTTATCTTAAATACGGAAATTGACCAAGTCTATGCACAATATATTAAAACACAATAAATGTCTGGAAAATTACATAACATAGCTCTCCAAGAAATGCTAGTTCATGTCTTTATAGAAGCTGAGAGAACTATTATGAAGGAAATAAATGTTCGTGTTATGCGTTAATGTTATAAACTAAGATTATTATGTAAATTATCACCTGCGTCAAAATAATAATTGGAATTTTTTTTTTAATTGTCTTGATATATTTGATACAATGTAGATAAACAGTAATTATTAACGTATTGTATATTGTTACTATTAGTTTTCACAAAATTACTTTTTCCTCTGTATATTTACTACCTTACTATCGATCTTTCATATCAACTGATGTGCCCTCTGCTGTACATATTGTAGATTTAAATTTTGTGATAGCGCATAATTTTAATGAAATAAAATCAAATGTATTTCTCATTATAAGTCTTTATCGTTTTTGGTGTGTTCTAAAGTACCAGTATACACTGCTAGTAAGGATAAATGAACATCTGATGATATGATCCGTTTAGTCTCTATAAGAAGATACTATGCGGTTCTGTTTCTCTCTATTAGAAAAGCCGGTAAGAATAATCTCATTATACGTTAAACCTACTGCAAAAATGGAAATTATACGTCAGAACACCACAGAATAGTAACGCAGTTGATATCCAACATATTTAATGAGCAAAAATTAAGACTGAATTTAGAACCAAATTCGTAAGTGATTACAATATATAGCATCAATTACATCAATTAGAATATAGAGCTAACAATAGTAGATGAGAAAGAAAAGCTACGATGAACAGTAGAACAATTACAGTTAATCAGATCAAGTTTGAATGTAATCATTATATGGAAACTTTTGCATAACATAACACGATAGCAATTTCTGTACCCATTATCGATTCAATATTCTAATGACCATTTTAAAGCGAAACAATTTGGTAATCCTACTGGTGAATTCAACTATCTAGCTTTCCAGTGCGATTTCTGATTCAATGCAGTAGGATTTCAGTATTTAAGGTAACAAGTAGATCCAATTTTAGAGGTCATATTACTATTTAATTAACCAATTAATCAAGATAACAACATCAAGAACATAGACAGATCATGATAAGCATGTTAATTTTGGTCAGTAAAAATTGCTATTCGTTTAATCGACACAATATTATTTAATATTCTGCAGTTCTTTGTGTCTGTTTAATGTCGGTTTGTTTATTGTCTAATAATTCACTAGCGAAGTGATTATTAGTCGTCAGACATAGTATGAATTGATTTTACTACTGGATTAACTTTGATTTAAATTAAATTTATACATAGGTTAATTAACCGATATTCCATAGATAGTTATAATCGTATGATGTAAACCAACCAACAAATAATCATCATTTGACTAGTTTTAACTGATGTAAGCGGACTGTTTTGCGATCTCAATTACTGTAGGATTGTATAATTTCAGTCTATAATTTATGCGATAGAATATATATGATACCATTTTTAAAATAAAATTGCTTTGTAAATGCTTCCTGTGACCTTACCGTATATATGCGAATTTTACTCACTATACAATCCATCTTGGTTAATTAATTAACAAAAGATTGATGACATGTGTGCACACAGTCTCACTGTATTTAAATAAGAAACAATGAAAAAATATGACTAATGAGCCAATTTAGCATATCAAATATTCAATTCCGAATATAGATTTATAAACACTATCTAGATTCTCAATGAGTTGAACTAGCAGAAATGGATATAATTAGCAGTTAGTAAGAGTATAGGATTATATAATACTGTGTAAAACATATCGAGTATCAAAACAGTGCAGCAACTATCTACTGATTTCGCGAATATCTCCTTGAAAACCGCTAACGATTCCATATAACTGTTAAAATTTGTAGTCCCCACAGAGGATATGGTAATCATTTCACTTCTTGTATGAAGAAAATTTTTTGAATAAAATTGTCTAAGCGGAAATTGATAATACTGTACATATTTCAAAATATTTCTTAACGCTAATCTACGCTTCAATTTAACTCTCGGGATCATTTGTAACCTATGACATGTGGTATGTTATAGTAGAGATTTTGACTTTTCTACATATTGATAATTCATGCTTATTAGGTTCTAATATAATAATATAATTTTCATCTGTAACAATTTCAATTAGCATTGCGAAGTAAATGGTTCAATTCTTTATACTTATGCGTATGCCTACTCATACCTCTTGTACCGCAAATAAGCAAAGCCACTACATGTTATAAAATACACTTTCTAGCAATAGACAATAGTTATTTAGAAAATAACGTTGAAATTGAAGTTTACTGTTCAGGATTAAAGCCTTATAATGGTCCCAAGTTGTTATTACGTCTTCAAGTAACATGAAAATAACATTAGTTAATGATGATAATATGCACTTCTTTCATAGTTGGCTGACGTAATTGATTAATCGTAAGTCGAAGCTAAGGTAGAACCACTATTTTGGAGATGAATAAGTTATTTAAAGTAATGATAGACGTATTTTAAGAAAAATGTTGACAAATCAGCCATAATTATCAGGGTAACGGGGTAAGTATCAAATAAACGCTGATAGTATGTAGAAAGCATTATGCAACTAATTCATATAGTCCTAGAAAACTTCAACATATGCTATACAATTGATCTTACGGTACTAACCAAATAGCTGCTCTAACAAACTCGTTTGATGAATGCAGTTCTGATCCATGCTTTAGTTTGGATTGAGAAAGGAAAAATATGATTTAATAAATTATTTGCAAGGGTCACTCATAAATTATGAAGTCACCAAATATTCGAGGTATTTATTGACGAATATTATAAAGCAGTAATTGATGCCACTATAAAGCTATTATTTTAAAGCATTAATAAACTATTCTCAATGGAATGAGTATAACTAATTGAGATTATGTGGTATCTTTTTAAATTGATCGTATCTTGTGGAATATCTCCATTGTCGTACAGCAAATTCTCCAAAGAAGCT